AAAATATACAGCGCGCGAATTTTAAATGAGAATTTCCGAAAACTTTTCAGTCTTAATGTATATATGTTGGATATGTATAATCATTATTGAAGAGTAGACTACTCATAATTAATCACAATGTGTAAAAACTTGTATTTGACATATTATAAATCAATATACTCATTTATTCATTGATTTCAGGTGTAGACTGTAAATCGAGCATACAATAATAAAGTTAATGTTATTTATCAAACAAAAATAAAATAAAATAAAAATAAAAAAATATATTGCATATACATAATATGTTGAAAATATATTTATTGAGTTGAGCGCTCTACACTTTAATTTAAATAATTATTTATTTTAATTTTATTAATTAATTTTTAATAGTTTTCACATAATAAGAGATATTTATAATTAGTTTTTTTATATAAATAAAATTTTAATATATTATCCTTATATTATCCTTAGCAATACTATTCCTTTGTAATTAAAAATTTTTATTTTTATTTTACTTTCACTTTATAATAAAAGTTTTTTATTTATTATTCTTTTCTTTAATTGATAACAAATGACACACCCATTTTTAATAGATATTTTTAGCACTCATTGACCAAAACAATTGTTCGCCATGTCAGAGTATTTGAACAACAATATCAATCAATTGCGTATATACATATATACAGATACATATAAAATATATGTATATTTATTTTTGTTTACAAAACATGAACTATCCAATCTTGCATGTTTTGTGTTTAAATATTACTAAGAAAGTGTATTAATAAATAATATAATATGTATGTATTTCAAATTTACAAATTGTCATAGAAACTACATATTTTAAAATAATCAAAAAAAATATGTATTTTTGTTTTGAAATTGTTAAAATACAATAATAATTTTAGTTATAATATTTAAAGTGAAAGCTCTTACAAATTTTTTTCTTCGATTTTCATTTTCAAGCCAGCCTCATGTCCCCACACTTCGTTTACGTTTGCACTTCTGATTTGTATCTATATACATTTCGTAGATTGGACACAAACAAGAATGAAGTATAATAAATTTTTATATAATCATTAATATACGATATTTGTTATTTTTGTTGATAGTATGTCTGTCCAAAATACACTATTGTTATTGTTTATTATTTTTGCGTATTTTCTTTTATTTTTTTTTCCCCTTTTTTTAATTTTAAGTTGTTTACGTCGTTAATGTGTTTTGATATTATTCCTTCGTAAAACTATTATAATCTATATATAAACTCTTGTTTTTATTTGCTTTTTTTTTATTAATCATATAGTAATTTGTGTTTTATGATTATGTCATTTATTATAAATCCTATGACCAATTGAAGTAATCCGGTATATTGGAACAATTTGAACAGAATTGATGAAATTTGAGTTCAGAGTCACAACCGCGAACTATGTGAGGACATCTACAGACACTATTATTTTTAAGTTTTATAGTTCAGAGTATACGGTTTCTACATTTTAGTATTTCATTTTGTTTTGAGTTTCATTGTTCAATGTATAAAGTTTAAACAACTATTTCTTTTGTTTTTCATCATCATCAGTTGTTGTATCTCCCACTTGAGCATAGTGTCTCAATAAAGCACTACCATCTGGTTCTGCTTGCCGCCAAAATCTTCAGCTCGTTTCACGTTTTTCCGGACTTCTCGATTTCGTTTTGCAATGTTCTTCTCCATATGTTTTTGTTTTTTATTGCTTTCTTTTAAATCTGTTACTACACATACTCAATGCATCTCTCATATATCGTAGCTATAGATTTTATAAATAAGGACGGTTTTCTGAGTAAAATAAATTCAAGATGTCATAGTTTGCTAGTAGAAAGAATCATATGAAAGGGTGGTCTGTATTTAGTATTATATATATTAAGTATTAAATATAGACTATTCGAGTCTATGTTTATAACATACATTGTATACCCGAGATAAAAGGTGCTAAAGAAAGGTTTTTTGAGGAGAAGAATATTCAAGAATAAACCTTAATAATATAAAAGAAAAATCTGACAAAACCACTGCAAATTTGTGAGGTTAATATTGAAAACAGATTATAAATTTATATCATCTAACTTGAAAATACCTTTTAAATATATATATAATAGTGGTTCTTTTTATATATTGTAGAATTAATTATTATATATACGTCATATATTAATTGCTATTTTTATGATTTTACTTATATACACTTTTCTAATTATTTAAAAACCTTTTAAAATAAATAGATAAAAAATTAATCTTTTGTGTATATTGCATTTTATGAATATGTTTAACCTTTCACGAAACGAATCTCTAGCATAAATTTTTATTCTTCTAATGTTATTGAAATTTAATTATTATTTTTTTATAGATAATAACTGACAATTCTTTATGAAGAAATTTTGCAATAAATATAAACAAATCATTATTTTGAAAAATATTTATTGTTTGCGTTTTCTAAGTGGTTGGTCGGTTCTAAGAGTTATGATTGATTCTATAGAATTTCATTCAACGATTCATATTTAATACGAGTGTAGCTATAATTATGAGTAAACAGTGCAAAACGGTTAGAAATAAAAATTTTACGAGGGTAGTGTTATAGGCGGCAATAATTATTAAGTTTTTTTTTTATTACATATGACATTGAATTTAATTTGATCAATGTTGTCATTATATAATATGATTGATAATACTATTTAAAGAAGTATCTATTATTTGAAATAGTTGGAACCCAATATCGTACAATTTGATATAATATTTCATAATACTTTGTTTATGAATTTATTCATTGAAACATTTGTAAATGCTAACAAAGTTTATAGTTTATAGTATAGTATCTATTTTAGATATTTTTCTTCTACTTCTGTGGAACACATTTAAGTTTTTATTTAGTACATTGAGAAAGCAATAGTATTTCTATTGTTAGTCTGTTTCATTTTGAATTTTAATTGCATCAAGAGTATGGATATATACTTGTACTTTTGGATATATATAAAATGCAACATAAAGAGACTTTTCTTTTTGCAAATTAGTTTAATGGCTAATATAAAAATCATTTATTAGTTCTAACAGTAAAAGAACTCAATCTCTCTCTAGCACTTGTTTTCTGTATTCCTCTCGAATTTTTACTTTCTTTCTCATTATTTCTTTCTCGCTTACTTGTTCTTTCTCCCTCACTTGTTCTTTCTTCCACATTTGTTTCATTTTCTCTTTCTCTCTCATGTTTTCTCTCTCATGTTTTCTTTCTCATATTTACTTTTTTCTTTCTTTCTCATTTTTTTCTTGCTAATTTTTTTGCCTTTTTTTCTCTAATACTGGACTGTGCCTTAATTTAACTTAGGTTTTCAAAAAACCCTTTATACATCATATAACATTTTGTGCTTACAGTCTAAGGTATCAATTAGTGAAGACATTTCTTTAAATGGCTCGATATAAACAGTAATGGTGATACACTGTCTACTGAGAAAACTATTTTCTCTTTAAAAGAAATTAGAATGTTCGATATGGGTGTTATAGGGAATGCTAAGTAGATATAGAAACTTCCACTAGAGGGATTCTTTTCCCTCTAACTGAGTATAGAACTCAGTTAAAACTTATACTTTGTACTATTGTAGGTGAACGGCTTAAGTTCATTGTAAGGTTTTCGTTATCGTTTTTTCTTAATGATTTTTAAGCCATATATTTCACAAAATTTCTAAAGTTTCTACTATAAGTATTACTGACATATTTCTTTTCTAGTATTTGCATATTTTTTTATACCCATTTTGCTTGTTCTATAAATTACCATGTATTAAATATTTTGAAGTTGCATTGTCTTTTAGTTATATGTTTATAATTTAAGTACTTAAAAGTAGTCAAAAATGACCACAATACTCTCTTTACTGACCTCTGAAAACAATCATGAATTCCCCTGTGTACGAAAACATACAAAGCACTACCCTCGTATTTTGTTAAGAGTGTATATTATGAATTTTATATATAGTACGGATGTATGTTAAGGGAAATGAATCGCTTGTCTGGCACACGTTACAAACACGTTCCAAGTTCATTGTTTGTGGGGATTTATTTATTTATTTTCATTAAAAAATATATATAATAAAAACAAATAAAAAACAGTGGCCGACAATTTATTGATAAGAATTTTAGGTTTTTGTTGCAAATATTTACAGTGGTGACCTAAAAAAAATACATTTAATTACTGTAATATACAGTTTTTTTTATTATAATTATATATCTATTTCCTATAAGTTAATGCTTGTATAGTGTATATCATTTATATACACATATATTTTTAATAAATATATGCTATTAAATAGATTGCTTTTTTCAATATATGTCTGTACTGTAATAAGTGAAGTATTGCAATGTACTTTAATTTCATATTAATAATAGTTTTTTTCTTGGCCGCGACTGTGGTTCTGTTGTGGTTTGGGCTTTATTTTGCTTGCATTTGCAAATGGATACAGTGTTTGACTTCCTCTTGAGTGCACACATATACGCTCATGGATGTTTATTTAGTTATGAGTACGCGAACAGACAAACATGCACCCCTCGCAATCTCCGCCCGCCCACACGCTATATTATCAGTTTGAAGTGCTTAGCAAGCACTGGCTGAGCGAGATTAACGGTTTAGTTATGTTAATTGTCAGTCGTCTGACATATTTTCAGACAATTTCAGACAAAGCGCAACTGGCCATATCCAGTACAGTTGCAGAATTCTTAGTGACATTGAGTGTCCGCCTGCTTTTTGTCAGTCAGTCCGATAACTAAACGCTGTATGTTTAGTTTATTTGCTCATTAATGCAATATTGTGTAAAAATGCAAATAAGTTAACAGTAAAATTGAATTACGAACGAAGTTAGTCTCGATAAGTGCCGCACGGAGCTCCCTACTGGGTGCTGATCATGAGTGCTGGTGTAAATAGTTATTAATTGATTGTCATTAATATTGATTGTATTTGCACAACAAATTAATTCATAATTATTTATAATAATTTTTTTTTTTTTTGTTTTTTTTTCAGATATTGACATTGTATTATTAATTTTGTGTTTCGTGTGGCTTTGAGAGCTATTGGAGCTCTTAGTAACCCGAGCAACGCCACGGACCAACAGCGTTAAGGATACAAAGATTTTGTTACATAAAATGACAGAAAATCAATTGTTTCCCATGTCGGCAGATCTTTTCGACAGTTCCTCAAATAGCAGCAACCCATTGAAATACGATTTGTATGCTTCACTGGGTTTAAGTAATAGCAACAGTTCAAGTGCAATCTTTGGCACTTCATTGCACACGTTTAGTCCACCACTGCAAATATCTGTAAATACTTCTAACTCAAACGTTATTACTGGAAATAACTTACAAAATAGTAATAGTAATAATATCCACAATGTTGTTGGCAGTATTGGTAGTAGTAATGTTATGTTGACAAATGCTATAACAATACCGCGTAGTAACAATCCAAATCAAAGCCATAATCCTTACAGAGACGACGCACATCATCATCCAAGTCCAAGTCCTTTACACCATCAAATGATGTCTTCACACCAAAATCAACAACAAAACCAGCAGACCACACGTCTGCTGGCCGATCTTTCCGACTATGCACTGGATGCTTTGGATGCCTCTTCCTTATCGCCAACACTTTTACAAGATGTTAGTTTAAGTGCTGCGTCTCCTTTGAATTCATCTTTGCATAGTATTACGCCTAATAGCAATGTATCAACAGGTTTCTATGCGCAGGACGCTTCACCTGTTAGTCACAGTGGCAACAATAGCGCTGTGGGTAGTATAAACGCTGACAATACTACATTGCTATCATTGAATACCAGCGGTAACGGTGCTGATGATGTAAATAACTCTTTAATATTTGAAGTTGCTCCAAATTCCAATACAATGTGGAGTGATATTGGTAGCGCTATTATTACAACAAAAAATGAACCATTCAACATTGAAGATGATTATATTTTCTCTATTGAAAAAACTGAAATACAATCTGCAGATTTTTCCGATATAAATGATGATCAATTTCTCGAAGTGATTGGCAATTTCGAAGATCTTTTGCCAGCTGCCACAACTGTAGATGGTTACTTTCAAATTAATAATAATGTACAGCAATTAAATAGTCCAGAAGCTTCACCTGGCGGACCGCCATTAGAACTTTTGCAACAACATTTGCAACATCAACAACAATTAACTCAATTGCATTCACAACAGCAACATCAACAACAACATCAGCAGCAACAACAGAACCAACATTTACAACACAGCAACAGTGCTGGTGGTGCCGTTCATCAACATTCACAGCATAATCACAATAGTTCCTCTAGTCCATACGATATCTATCATAGTACACCAAATAAGCAGAACCAATTGAATACTTCTTCAAATATATTTTCACCAGGCAGCCAAGTAATTATTGAAATTTATTTAATTTTTTTGATTATTATTAATTAAACTCATTTATTCGTAGTCTTCGAATTCACCACTACAAATTAGTTCTATAACTCCACCGCCACCACATGCCAATCGTTCACAGTATCAACAACATCTGGTAAAATCGCACAATATGCAAGAACTGATTAAAAAGAGCTTTGCTTTGTCGCCAGATAGTAGCGCGGCATTGCTGGGTCAATCGGTGCCAAGTTCCCATATGTTACTTTCTGGAAATGCATTAAGCCCAAGCAGTGGCAGTAGTGGTTTTGGTAGCTCTACAGGCGGCAGTACTGGTGTTAGTGTACGAAAATCATTTGCTTACCAAAATGATGCATCCATATCGCGTTTATCATCTTCGGCTCCCACTCATCTTGGATTTGATCATATTTGGACGCGACGTGAACCAAGGCAGCATTTACTCTCAACTGGTTCTCTAGCCGAAACAGAATCTTATTCTTCATTAAGCACTGGCAGTGTGCTGTCCCCTGAGGGTATCGATTTCTCACAAGATGATGATGATGACGGTTCAACAGATTACAATAGCGATCACTACGATGACTTTTCTAGTGACAATGGTAAATATTAATCAAATTTCAATAGTTTTGAATATAATTTCAATAATTGAATAGGTTCAGATAACGAAGATGACGCACGCACTACTACCTCAGGTCAATTATCTTCAAGCAAAGGCAAAGAACGTTATTTCTGGCAATATAATGTACAAGCAAAAGGACCAAAAGGCAAACGACTTGTATTTCAATCGAAACTGGAAGATCCGCATGTGCTAAATGAAGTCACAGATCCTGTCTTCAGTCCAAATTGCACTGTGCGCGGTATTAAGGTATTTAAAGTAAATACAACCAATTTCGCGGCATTTCAACACAATTCAATAATTCGTTCGCGAAGAGTTGATTGCAGTTGATTTAAATCAGAACAATGTTTTAACGAAATTTCTGTTTTTAACTTACAGCACAGCGGTAAAGCACGTAAAGGAGATGGCAATGACTTAACACCAAATCCACGTAAATTACACAGCATTGGAAAAGAATTAGATAAGCTCAGTCGTACAATCAATGATATGACACCAGTTTCTGAATTGCCATTTAACGTACGCCCAAAGTCACGCAAGGAGAAGAATAAACTCGCTTCTCGTGCTTGCCGTCTTAAGAAGAAAGCACAACATGAAGCAAATAAAATTAAACTTTTTGGACTGGAAATTGAACACAGTAAGTTTAGATCTATTGGAATAGATTATAGATATATGTAAGGAATGACCAACATAAAAAAAACTTTGCCAATTGCTAAGAAAAACAATTCCGCTATCTAGTTTTGTATGGATCATTAAATAAATTTGGAATTGCTAATTGTTTTTAAAATATTAAAATATATTGTAATTTTAAACCAAGTATCTTTCTCTGCTTTTTAATCTGGCTATAAAAAATGGTTACTGATGGCTGTAGTTAGTGCATGGGAATATTACTCATAAAAACATTTCATCGAGATTAACCAGGGTGAACTTTTTTTTTACATTAAAAACAAATAAAAATAAATTATTAGACTGTCAATTTAACGAAAGATTTAATGTATTTTGAATACATTTTATTAACAATAACAGCGTTAAAGAGTACTGAATCTGAGCTTTAAATTTGGCAGGGCACGAGTTCGATTCCTGGTACTTGCAGTCTCAAAAAATTATTTACAAATAATTAAATACAAGACTTATTTTCAACACTACTGATGATGGGTATTTGGCAATACTCGAAACAGATGTATGGTCAGCCAAAAATTTAATTAATTAAAATAATATAAAAATAATTTTTGTTGTTGTCGCTCATTACTGTTCGAAACTTCTCTATTAAATAGTAATATTATAATATTAATGTTATATTTATTATTATTATTATTATATTATTATTATTATATTATTATTATTATATTATTATTATTATATTATTATTATTATATTATTATTATTATATTATTATTATACTATTATTATTATATTATTATTATTATTATTATTATATTATGATTATATTATTAATATTATTATATATAACCATATTAAATGAAACTATTTTTTGCAACAGAGAGACTACTGAAAGGTATATCAGATATGAAACAAGCACTTGCAATTAAATATCGTAATCAAAACGTTGGCGAATCAAACGAAGAGATGGATCAGCAAATTGAAAGAATATATAAGATAGCTACAAGTGAGTTAAGCAATTAATTATATATAAATATTTTTTTAATACAACATAAATTTTTTTATATAATTTTAGCTGGCTTATGTATTGCTGGTGGTACGACAGATTTTGTAAATAAAGTTTTGGATAATGTTAAGAGCGGTGTTTCCACTGGTGGACTTGAGGAGTTACGAAATTCATAGGGATGATTAAGAGTGCCAGCAACAACTGCGGCCATGGAGAAAGTTAAAGAAGAAGATGATGAATAATGTTGGAAAATTGTCAAAGAATATGTAACGAAAAAAAAACAAAACAAAAATACTAAAGATGAATTGTGATGGCTTCATTGAACCTAAATGAAAAGAAAGAGGCAAAGTACAGATTTAAGTTTTAAATTAAAAAAACGAATGGAAAAGTTATATATGATAAGTTAAAAATTAAAAGAAATTATTGAGCTACCCGTTTTACCTGCATAATTTATAAGAAATGAGTATGGAAGAGAAAAGCAGAAGTGTTAAAATTGTTTTCATGAATTTTGGCTTAAAACATGTTGAGCACAATGTAATTTATGTTTTTGTTTATTACATGTATTTTTGAATACATACTATTGCTTTTATTATACATATATTTTATAATGTGGTTATGTAGAAACTGTTTTACTGCTCGCTTTGTTTCAAAGTTTAAAAATGTTTTATTTATCTTTTCTTTAAATGGTTATAAATACATATTATTTTAATATATTTGTTTATTGTCCATAAAGTAACATTAATATATATTTTTAACTACTTTTAATATATTTGTTTTGATATATAATACTAAAGCTTTTAATATAAAATTATAAATAATTTGTACATATTAAAAAGTCTTTATGTAAATTTTGTAAGAAAGCATAAATACAACAATATACAAGGTGATATATTTCTAATTATTTAAATTTACATACATTTATATACAACAAATGTCTAAATATTTATTTTAGTTGCTTATATTTGATTTATTATTTTTAAAAATGAAAAATATATTTTTAATGAAAAGAAAAAAAATTATTTTATTTTTACTACAACACAATTAAAACAAGAGAAAAAAAAAACATAAAACTTTTAGATCATAAGCCAATGTACAAAAACTATATATTCATGTATATATACATATATAAATATTATATTTTCTATAAACAACATAATTTTCAAATACATGTAAAAATATTTTTTTAAGCAACAAAAAATAATGATAAAATATTGAATTAAAAAATACTACAATTTTATTATCTAATATATATTTGAACTTTACTACTTCAAATATTTAATGATATATTATATAAAAATTAAATAAATAGAAATGTTTTTATAATAAGTACATAAAAGGGTTTCAAGAAACAAAACTTTAATAAAAATACAATATATTTAATTAATGGAATATGTTTAATTATAAAGTAAAATACACAGTGAAAACTATTCTTTAATATTTAGGTTCTATGTGTATATTTTTAAAATACTAAGCATATATGCTGTAACTAAATAATTTTTAAATATTTCCTATATGTATTTAAAAAAATTGTTTGTGATATGTTGCACTTTTTTTTATTAATGGTAAATGTAACTTGGAAGTTGTTCAGTTCGATGAGATGCCTTTTTTTATTATAAGAATAAAAATTTCAACATATTTAAATCTCTTTTTTGTTTTAATATTTTATTTACACAGTCATAGTTTCTGTTAGGTTATTATTTTAATTTAATTTGAAATTAACAAAATCTTATATAATACCTTTATAATAATAATTTGTAATTAACTTTCTTGTTTTGTATTGATATATTATTTTTATTTCAATAAATTTATTTTATAAAAATTATAAAACTTTTTAAAATTAATTTTGTTATTATTTTTTATATTTTTTTATATTTTTGCTTATATTTCATTTCAATAAAAATTTCTGTAAAATGGATATTTAAAACAATGTTTCTGTTTTCTATTATTGCTTCTGTTATTATTTATTGTTTTTATTTTACTTTGAAACCAACCAAATTTTTTAAAATGTGTAAAAAATTTTATTTTTAAATTTATTGTTATTTTTTGTTTCTATTTTAATAAATATTTTGTATAAAATTTATAAATAGTTTTTTTATTAATAATTTCTTTTTAATATTAAATTAATTTAATTTGAACATTTTTTTCAATTAATATTACATTTTTCAAATTAATTTTCTCATTTTTTATATTTGTATTTAAATTTAATTCCTCTAAATTTATTTTATACAATTGACAATAATTTTTTTTATTAATACTGTTTTTGTTTTTACATAAACTTCGATTAAATTCGATTTTAACACTTTTTATATAATTTTTTTTTTTTTAAATTAACTTAATTTTTTTATTTTTATTTTAATTTCATTTCAAGAAAATATATAATAATTTCCTTAATTAAAGTTATTATTGGTTTCATATTTTTATTTAAAATTAATTTCAACAAATGTTTGTATAGAATTCATAATTTGTTTGGCAATTTTTTTAATTATTGTTTTTTACATTTTACTTTAATTTATTTTTGGCTACTTTTAAAATAATTAATAATAATAATTTTTAATTATTTTTTTTTTATTTTTTAATTAGTTTTTTTTTTATTTTTAATTAAACTTTAACTTGAATTTCGTCGGTTTGTGAATTTTTGAATTATTATAAATTAATTTAATATAATATAATTATAATGACATTAATATAATTGATTTCAATTAATTTTGTTATTACATTTTTCTTTTAAATTTTTAAATTTTGAATACTAAAAGTATTCAAAAGTAGTATGATAATTATTGCAATTATTATATTAATTTGTTTAGAAATTTGCCTTAATTTTTGTATTTTATATTTTATATTAATTTATTTAAACTACTTTTAACGTGATTTATAAAAATTGTTAATTATTTTTTTTTAAATTTTTGTTTTTTAACTTTTACTTAAATTTCACTTGTTTATAAATTTGTAATAATTTTTTTATTAATTATAATAATTTAAATAAATTTCTTTATATTATTTCAATTCATTATGTTATTACATTCTTCTTCAAAAGTTCGAAATTTTTGACATTTATATTATTTCAACTCATTATGTTATTATATTCTTCTCTAAAATTTCAAAATTTTTGACATATTGAAAGTATATTTCTGATCTTTTTTCGCAATTATTATGTAATATAATATTATTCTTTGTTTTTAAATGTTTTTTTTTTAAATCTGATTTCCACTTTTTTTTAAATTATAATAAAACTCTTGTAGCTTTATTCATAATAATAAACATTCTACATTAACATGAACGTAATGTTTTTGTTTTAATTTTAGTTATATCAATATTTTTTTTGTTATTATAATTTAATTTTAAATACTATTTAATACAATTTATTTAGTTAATTATATATACATATTTATTTATATAGTTAACTATATATATATAGTTAACTATATATTATAATTTTAACTAAAAATTTATTTTAAATAAGTTTTTTTAGTTCAATTTGAAATCTATTTATGCGTTATAATTTATTTAATTATAACACAATATTATTTAAAATCAGTTTTGTCTATTTTTTGAACTGTATTTGTTTATAAATTTTTTTTTATATATGTTATCATTTACAACAATAATAATTTTATATTTTGATGAATATTTCATATTAATAAATTTTTATTATATTTTCCAAAAATTTTTTTATATTAAAATGATTATAAAATTTTTTTATTAATAATAATATACTTTTCAATATTTTAAAAATTATAAAAATGTGATTAGTAAATAATTTGAATGTAATTAAATGAAAATATATGTTACTATCTAATATTTTGAAATGCTGATAAGTGGTATTTTTTTAAAATAATTTTTAACATAGATTTAAAAGTTTTTAGTTATAATTTGAGTGTAAGAAATATTTACACACAAATTATTTTTATGTGTTTATTTATTTTATTAATGAATTTATTTATTTCTTATATATATATATATATATATATATATATATATATTATATGTATATGTGTAAGAAATATTTATAATTTTAATTCTAATTAATTCAATAATATAATAATATAAGTGGTATTCACACTCTAGAGTAACGAGTTCGCTAATCAACTAACATCGTAACAGTTCAGAGCATCAATAATTAAATTATATTAATTCGAATAGTGTTTTATATATCCTACTCTGATTTTTATTATGTTATTTGGTTAAGTATCTCGTTATTTAAAATTGTGGATACTAACAATATTATCTCTGCGGGTGAAGTGTTGCATATGGTTAACATACACATATAAAGGAATATCTGATTTGTTGTTAATTTATTAATAATTTAAGTATTATTATTTTTTTTTGAATTCTGTTTTCATACTCACTTTCCTTTTTATGTTTTATTATATATTGCATATTATTTTATTTTACATAAACATTTTCTACATTTTTAAATGTAGTGTTTTATATAGTTCTGCGGACATTTTAATTTTTTTTATTTATAAAGTGAAATTTATAGTTAAAGTATACTAGCATTATATTGTAATAATTTTTTTAATTATGTTTATTAATTATTTTTAATTAATGATTATTTAAGTAATTTATTTCAATTTCAAATAAAATTTAATTTTACGGCTGATAGTATATTTAAGAGAAATTACTAACTGTATAGTTATCAACTTTTAATCAATTATTAAAAATATATGTTAGCTTTCAAAAGTGTGCTTTACATCTCTGCATAACAGTTAATTCTTACAGATGTGAGGTTATGAACTCATTAAATATATATTTGATGGAAATGCAACAATTTTAAAAGAAGCAAATATTTAATTTTCCTCAAATGGTTAAATTTTTTTAGATGAAAATATGTTTAAAAACTTATAATTATTAAAAGTTCCAACGAATGCATAATTTAATAGAAATGCTACAATTTACAAAAAAAACAAACATTTAATTTTTTAACATGGTTATATTTTTTAGATACAAATATGTTGAAAAACTTAAAATTATTTTGTCTTTTCTTAAGTAAATAAGTTTGCGATTAATATTACATTTTATTGGCACTAAATATTATATAGTTATCGGTTTTAAATAATACACAAAAATATGGTAAGAATTTTTTTAAATATTTTTAATATTTTTTTTTATATATATTTAAAATAGTTTTTTATATTTTTAATATTATTTTTATATTATTAATTTTTGTTTCATATGTATATTTAATATATTTCGTAAAGTGCATCTCATCGCGTTTGTACATTATGAGTAAAGGAGTCAAGTGCTTTTTAAAATTTGATGTGTTCATAATATATCAAAATTAATTATATTTTGTTGCTTTTAGTCTTTCGGTTAGTAAACACAAAATGTATACTTTAGTTTAATTAATATTAAGTAACTCTAT